GCTTAGAGCAAGGAATAGGATTCTCTCTCTCTCTCTCTCTCTCTCTCTCTCTCTCTCTCTCTCTCTCTCTGTCTGTCTCACGCTCTTTTTCTCAATATATATTTAAAGATTCAAGTAAGAAATAGCACAGTTGAGTTCATTACCTTTTACATTTCTGTTTTTTTTTCCTCAAAATCCATCATTCTCAGTTTCATCAGGGTTTATACGAAAAATCACTGGAGTTTTAGTTTTCTTTAAGCTATGAAAATGAAGCAACAAGGTGAAATGGCTGCTAAAACAGCTAACATAAGTGTGAGCTGCACTTATGGAATTATAATTTTCAGGTGAAGGGATGGATACAACAAGTTCATCTAGCTTCCTATCTGGAGCTAGAGGACCACTGTAATGAAATAGGGAGCAAGCGGGGACAAGCTCATGAAGGAATTCACAATGTCCCCAAAACTCACAGGCCTGAATCCAGTTGGGCCATTTAGAAGCTGTGGGCTTAGGGGACAAGCGGGAGATAAAGCCAGAACGCGAGTTGGATTCTCTAAAGTGGAAGTCTAACATGTCAGAATAGAAAGCCTGTACTTATGTTGGAAGGTAATAGGGAGCCATTGAAAGTTATAGAGCATGATTATGGGGATCATTATGGGGATGACCTCCTATGTAGGCTTAAATGAGAGGTAGCAATCCAGAACCCTTCAGAAGCATCTCTATTTCCTGAGAGGAGACCCCAATTTCTATTCCCAGGTTTCACGTCACAGCAGCTTTAAGAGAGTCCTGACCTTAACTCCCTCGCCAGTAAAATAGATGCATCACTTTAGGGTCTGACAGAACCCAGCAGTGAACACGGTTGGGGGAGGTAGGGGAGAATTGAGGAGGAATGTGAGGAGAGAGGAAGCAAGGGGTCAGAGACCCTGGACAACCAGAGAGAGGCCTCCAAATTCTTTCCTGCACTGGCCACCTCACCTTCCCGCTCTGTGACTCAGGCAACCTCTGAACTGCTTGGCTCCTCAGCTCCCCCCAGCAACAGGAGGCTGTCAACTGAGGTATCAGACAGGCGGAATGGACTGCTCTTCACAGGAACAAGAAGCGCCACACAAATGCAGACCAGACCCAGTCTTCTGCTCATTGGGACTTGGTGATCTAGAAAGATGCCCCATTGGGCGGCCGAGTGACTCAGTTGGTTGGAGCGCGAGCTCTGAGCAACAGGTTGCCGGTTCGATTCCCACATGGGCCAGTGAGCTGCGCCCTCCGCCGCAACTAGATTGAAGACAATGACTTGAGCTGAGCTGCCGCTAAGCTGCCAATGGGTGGCCAGATGGCTCAGTTGGTTAGGGATCATGCTTTTAACAACAAGGTTGCTGCTGGTTTGACTCCCGCATGGGATGGTGGGCTGTGCTCCCAGCAACTAGATTGAAAATGGCGACTGGACTTGGAGCTGAGCTGCACCCTCCACAACTAAGATTGAAGGACAACAACTTGACTTGGAGCTGATGGGTCCTGAGAAAAACACACTGTTTCCCAATAAAGTTAA